CTTTCTGAAGAATGTAAACTGATTTAAGTCTGAAGCAAAGATTTATATTTAATATTCAATTCCTTGCCAATGAGATGGCCTTCAATATTTTCCCCAAAAAATATCTTTTAGAGCCTGCAAAACAAATTCAACTCACATAAGAATGTAAATCAAGCTAGTATATGAAATCACATATGCTACTTACTGGCTCCATACATGTTTGACAGTAGAGTTTAAGTTGCAGCACATTTCGAATACCTGAGAAGACCTTTCAATTCATGGAATTATTAAATGATTAAAATTGCTCTTTAATAATTAAACATGCCATCTGTATAAGGCAGTATGACCTTTCACCCAGGGTCTCTTAGGCTGTTCTAGAATTTCTGCAGTTGGCACATGTGGTATCAGAAATCCATTGCTATTCTTCCTTTGAAATCTTAGAGGGGTGGACTTAGAGCAGCTGTTTTTGTGCTGCCAGATTTCATTGAAATGTGGGTTTTAAAAGCCCTTGGCCTGTCATTTTGAGTTAGCATACCTTAATCACAAATCTCACCATAATATAATTCAACTGATGCCTGAAATTCAATATAGCGGAACATTTGCTGAACAGTGCACTTAGCAACAATAACCAACCAGAATATATGTTTTCCATTGAAATGTTCTTTCATGTTCTATGTGGCCTCAGAAATGCTGATAGATTATAAATATTACTTTTTCTATAACAACAAAACACAAACAGTTTCCATTATGCTTTCCCCTCTCCCTCCTCTTATTGGGAATATGTAAGGGAATATGACATTTGGAAAATTATCTGCTGTAAGATTTAGAGGGTGACAGAACTACTAAAAAATTGATGTGACCCAGACATTAAGCTAACTGAAGCAATTAAACAGCCAGTGATGAACACATTTCTTTTTTATATTGTATTAAATGTCATATCAGACATTTCCACAGTTCAGTGACTGACAGTTAAAATGGTCAGAGCAATGGAATATCAGTCACCATAAATGTAATTCCTCTGTGTGTTTGGGAGAAAAGGTATGAACTCTGGCTATAACCATGCTCACCAATTAATTAACCTATGGGATACTAGAGACTTTTTATCTGCTTGCCTTTAGCAAGGTGCCTTTTTTTAAAAGTTTGTTAGACTGCTTTTGAATGTGTTCTGTATTGACTTTAGTGCTGCTTTTAGAGATAAACTTGACTCCACTTCCATTTAAAGCTTATGTTGTGGGGTTTTAGCCACATACAAAGACAGGTAAAGTTAGTCTCATTTTAAAAATATACCACAAATTTTTATGTTTAAAAAACACTCTGGGTCTTAAAATCTGTCATTTGAGTTTGTTTCACACATAAAATTATACTCAGGAATCAAGAAACGTTACCTTAGTCAATTTATTGATGTATTTATTGTATTTAGAATTGAAACTCGATGTACTGAATTCCACATGGATTTTCTGGGCATTAAAACACAACATAAAGTAGGTTACACTTGCCCTTTTTTCTCTCCAGCAGGATTTTAAGTCATAGAGATAGATAAGGAGTATTCACTTTTCTTTTACTTATTTTAGAATATTTATTTATGAACTCCTTCTATAATAGGTATAGGAGTACTCACCGCCATGGATAAGACATTTAAGAACTCAACCAATTAATAAAGGTAGCCAAGTATGTAAAACAAGTATCTGTAATGCAAAATGATTTTTATTTTATATATGTGTGTGAGGAGAGAGAACTTTGTTTTTAGAAGGGAAAGTTAACCCTCCAAATCAATTTTCCATGCTTCTCTGCCTGCCCTGCCTTTTACAGATTACATTACCAGAGTTTCTCTGCTTCTCTGGCTTTGGGAAGATAGATAGTAGAAGAAGAAAATTCCTGGCAATTATTCTCCCCACTGTCTCCTCCAAATTATGGCTACAGTTCCTGTTGGGTAGCTTTTCTTTAGTTGTCACTGATCCTACCTCCCCACTCCTGGGTTAGTCTCTACAGTTCCGGGGCTAATAATATCGTCCCTCTGTTATTAGTTCCTGGGTTCTTCACCATCCTTTGTTCTTATTACTCCTGTCACACCTCTGTACTTTGTCTCTTCATTGAGATTTCAGTTAACTCTTGGGTTTAGCTACTACCTGACATGAAGGAGTACAGAATGAAAAGGGAGATATCAGAGGCAGAGGTTAGTTTACCTTCACATTTTCAACATATACCCTCACTAGATCAGAACAAAACTAAAACCATGTCATTTCTGCTGCCACCAAGAGATGGCATAAGTGGTCACACTTACACAATTTAAGACTATGAATTGTTCTTTTCTTGAGTTTTGACTATTTTTGTCTTTTTTAGATGTTTAAAAAATATTAACTTATACCTGTCAAATTTGAATTTAGTGAAAGTGTTCCAAAAACTATTTAATTGGCATACATTTGCTTATAATTAAGACAAAAATAGAGACTATTTGAAACAATGGAAAGATGAGAGAAAACAACACAGGTTGTATGTGCATATGGAATGATTTTGTGGGGGGGGACAGAAGCAATTCTGAAAGATAAAAAGTAAATTAAATGATGAGTTTAAAAAGTGCTATGCTTAGCTGTTATGGGCTGAACTGTATGTTCCATCCATCCTCAACTCATATGTGGAAGCCTTAACGCCCAATACGACTATATTTGGAGGTAGGGCCTTTAAGGACTTAATTAAGGGTAAATGAAGTCATAAGAGTGGAGCCCTATTCTATGAGAACTGCTGTCCTTATATGAAGAAGAAGAGACAGCAGCTGTGTGTGTGCATGGAAGAAAGCACAAGTGAGGACACAGTGAGAAGGTGGCTGTCTATACTTCAAGGAGAGAAGCCTCAGGAGAAAGCAACCATGGCAGGTACCTTGTTCCTGGATTTCTAGCTTCAGAACTGTAACAATCTATGTGTTGTGGAAGCCAATCAGTCTGTGGTGTTTTCTTATGGTACCTCTACGCAGACTAATAACAATGGACAGTTTTCCACAGGAGATTAAGGCTGAAGCAGTTAAAAAAAGAAAAGTTTGCTTGTGTTTTCTTAGAACACTTCCATCAGTATTTGTTTTACTTTAGGTCCTTCAAGAATCACCCCATCTACCAAAGTGTGTAAGATGTTTATTGGGAGAAATGTTGGAAAAGATTAAGGAGATGTGCTGAAGGTAAGGAGAACCTTCAAACAGTGATGCAGGTCTGACACCTGAGAAGAAGAGAGGAAAGAAGGAAGATTTTGTCAGTAGAATGTCAGAGTACAGGAAAGTTTCAAACTGATTGAGAGTCCTCAAGCCAAAATCTTCCATTAAAAGCATTCCACATTAGTTCCTCTGCATGTTTAGTCTTGACTGAGAGCAGCTTGTAGGAAGAATGGACTTGGAATAAACATGAAGAAATTTGAGGGACAGCAGCTGAGGTCATTAGTCAGTTATGCTTTGATATAGGCATTTTCACAGCCCATGGATATCATACTCCATATGATATCGAGACAGTTTTTAGCAGATATGGAGACCAAATCCTTCCAAGTTTGAATTCAGAGATGATAGGCTTCTCAGCCCCAGCATTCTTAGTAAAAGCCCTGAAACCGTCTTGGATGGGACTCATTTAGGTAAGGTTCCCACCTCTGAGCTAGTTATGGTGCAAGGATAATTCCATGTCCTGATTTGCTCAAGTGTAATTTTTAATGCCCTTCTTCCAGGGTAGAAGTTGTAGCTCCACCCATACTATGAGAATTGAAGAGCAGTGAGAGGCAGATTCCCTGACTACATGCATTTCCTATACAGAATATATATATATATATATATTATTTTATTTTAATAGGTTTAGCCAGGTTGCTTCCTTAAGAATTCAGTTCTATAAAAAAGTATCATGGTACCTTTTCACCCACATCATCACCAGCAATTTATGTTAGCTTTCTTTTAGATGTTTGCCTACCTGATGGATACAAAGCTAGACAGCTCATTATTACTTTGATTTATACCTTCCTAATACTAGTGTTTAAATCTCTTCCCATACTATTTATTCCCAACTTGGATTTTATTTTCTGTAGATGGACTTCATATTCCTTGTCCATTTTCCTATTTTCTCTTTGTCCTTTCCTTGCAGGTTGATAAGGACACATTTTGTTTATAGCTATAGTCCTCTATGAGTTGTCTACATTGCAAATAAGAAAAGAAAAAGTAAGGTCTGTGCATCTTCCCTTTCTCCATGTTTATTATCAGTTCTAAGATCCATCATCCTCAAGAGGCAGTCTAGATCAGTATCCCAGGAATGTATGAGACAGCTCCATCACTTATCACTTCTTGCAATAGCCTTTAAATTGTGTACTATCATTTATATTTCTGAAAATTGACTTCTTAACAAGATTTACTTTAAAAGGAAAGCTAATATTAATGTGATTACAATATTGTAACTACTAGTTATATTTTCCAATACACATTAAATTCAAAGCTATGAAAATAAGTTATTCATTTGCATACCACTGAAAACCACACTGTAAATTTGGGAACTGCATTACAGCACTTGAGAGTGCCATCAGACTAGTCAAGGTCAAGAGCAAAGATTTTCAGGGTTTAGGGTTTCCTGGTTTTGCTACTTACTGATGATGCTACCACTCCCATGAAGTGGGGTGGATGGTGAGTTCACTCACATCTGAGGAAAGGCCATCAGGAGGGTGCAACTACTTTCTATGCTATGGAGTAGTGGAAATTAGAATCCAGGTCTTTCTCCAAAACAACAGCATAACAGGGAAAAAGCAGTGAGCTTTGAAGAGAAATAGACCTGGAATCCAATGCAGTGGATGAACCATATGTGGCGTTCAAGGCTCAGGAAGTCGGGACCTCACGCAGACCAGGACAGCATTCTCAACGTTCCTCATTCTCGCTGGAACACTGGATGTTCTAAGATTCGGCTAATTGTTCTGGATCCAGGGCTCAGAAGGCAGAGCCTCAAGACCTGGGACTGCCATGGTCACAGTCCCTCTGACGGCCACTTTCCCACTCAGGCCACTGGGAACCAGGAGCAATGTGCGGGCTGAGGGCATGGAGCCACATCCTCCTGCCGGTCTTCCTCTCCCTAGCACTCATCCAATTGCTTATCAGCTTCTCAGATAGTAACTTGCCCCAAATCTACAAACACAGGACCCAGCAGACGCAAAACAAGTCGACTGAAGAAAGTGAGTGATGCGAGTCCCTAAGCTGGTGCCACACCTCCGCCGCTGCTCATCCTCCCTTCTGGTTGTGACACCTGGCCCCATAAAGTTGCCATTTCGTGTTTGTGAAAGATTTTTAAAGACTGTGAACGTTTTTTGGGAAACCTAGTTAAACTGGACTCCAACTAATTTGCTTTAAAACGTAAAATGTGGAGTAACACAGGTTTAAATTTGCAAAAGGCAGCCGAGCGTCCCAGCGCTTGAGGGTTTGTGGCAGCAGTATCATGAATTCGAGGCCAGCCTGGGCTACACAATGAGTCCCTGCCTAAAAAACAAACAAAAAACAGGAAAAGCGTGTTTTCTTCCTTTCACTTTTTGCGTGACCTATATCAAAAGAGCTTTGTGCTGTGAATAAGTGTGAATAAGACCCCAAAGAGTCATTGACCATTTTTTTTCCTGATGTTTTAAGGTCTCAGCTAATAAATTGCTTATTTTTTTTCCTTATGAATTACTTCAGTTGGAGGTTTCTCTTGGTTTTCCTCACCAGCTGAAGACATTTTGAAATGTTAGAAGTCATGTGCATTAAATTTATGTACCTGGAAATAAAGTTTTTAATACCCCAAATTGAAATTATATTGATAAAGATAGAATTTGACTTATTTGGCAAATGCCCTGAAAGCCAAGATTGCCATTTTTATGAAGACAGAATAATTACTGTTGTCTCCTTTCCAGAGTATAAATGAATGTTAGTTTGTGTAAGCAAATCAGTCTTCCTCACTAAAACCCGGCCTACAGTTCTCAGCTTTGCACTGAAATAAGAATCTTTTTTGAAGGATGTGGATGGGAAGAGATTGAACCAAAGGGCCTAGCTTGTTACTTTTGGCCTCATTTTTCCCATGGATTTCTCTTTTTTAACTTCTTGGTCATGACCATACATATTCCAAGAGAAACTGTGTTCCTGTTCCATCTTCTCCCCTTCTCCTTAGAAACAATGCCAGTGGTATATATATGGGGACACTCTTTACCTTGGTGTTCTAGCAAAATGAAGTCATACTAGAATTTTTCAAAAGATGGTTTTTAAATGGTAAAGAAGAACAAAAAGAAAGTAAGCAAACAAAACAAATTGAGAAACAGAGCCTAGTGTGGACACCAAAGACTGAAGTTTCTGAGTCTTGTGTCTTGGATCTGGTCAACCCTGGTCCATGTTTCTGAGAGAACAGCTTGCCTGTACCTGGGGACCCTGATTCACCCTGACATGGGCTCCCTGGGTGTTTGCTCCTAGCCTCAGACAGATTTCCCTTGTGCTCAAATTCAACTTTTCCCTATAATAGGATTTGGTTTCTTAGCCATAATACTTTTCACTTCCAAAACCAAGAAGGGTATTCTAATTGCTTACTGAAATCCTCACCTGCATCTTTGCTTGTTCTCTGAATGACAGGTAACAGATAAGACTGTATAGAATTTCCAACCTAACACTGAGTTCAGCTAAATATTTACTCAAAAAAGTCTGAATTTATTGCTTTAACTTGAATTTCCAGGCTTAAGTTTTTCTACCACTTGCAGAAATGGGGGGAGGGGTAGAGTTATGCTGAGTTGTGATATAAAACTAAATTCTTATATTGAGAAAACTAGATCAAATTCTTTCTCTTTTCTGATGTCTTCCTTAATCTGAGTGGATAATTGTTTCTATCCTTAGCTTTGCCTCTCTGACAGTCCACATTTCATTCTAAGAGGAGATAACTCAGAGATCAAGAGCAACAGCTGAGACACCTGGACTCACCTCCCAGCTTTGTCACTTACCAGGCCCATCATTACTGTTCCACAGTTTCCTTATCAGTTAAATGGAAATAGTATCTTCCTCAAATGGTGGTTGTGAGGATCAAATGAGCTAATACATATGCATTCACATCACAGTGAGTGTCCATGAGAGCGCTGGAAAGCAAGATGAAGGCATGAATGTTAAGCATCTGAAAAACAGAAAGCAGTTGAAATCAGACTGATGGAAAACCCACAGATAGGAGGACTTTAAAGATAGATATGGTTCTAGGGTTGCTTCAACCTCAGCAGCAATGATTACAAAGACTGTGAGGGAGCTGTGCAGCAATTAGCAGGGTGGTTATCTTGGAACACTAAAACTGATTGCCCCTCCACTTTCTCAGTTGTCTCAAGAAGTAGGCAGTAGAAGCAACAGAGGTGATTGCCCAAGTTAGCAATGAATGTAAATTCTTGCCCAACACACAGAGCCTGCCTGGTAGCATGGCCCAACTCTCCCACATCATGGATGTGAAAATAAAATCTGTATCTAGACATATAAAAAATAGCACAGAGTCAACAATCATGAAACCCAACAAATAAAAAAAGTAATTTATTAAGAAACATTTAACAGAAAGAAAAAACACTATGAATCCTTGTAGAGGAGTAACAAGATTCCAAAAGAGACGACTAAGCTAGAAAGCAGGTTGGCTTTACCATTCCACAAGTGCTAAAAGTATGCAGTGAGACTCATTGGATCATAGTAAGACAGTTAATTACTCATAGAACAGCAAACAGCAGGAATGTCAGCATGGGAACAGTAGTCTTTTTGCCCACAAGTGCCATGGAGCAATGCAATGGGACCAGATAGTAGCAGTGCTACAGGTGAAGAACCCAGGGCTAAGAGCGTATGACTTTTTTTTGCAAGCAGCAAAAAAATCTAATCCCCTGGGGAATGAGTAGTTGTAAGCGCAGTCACACTGTGGTTTCTTTGATCTATTTAATTGACTGTGACCAGACATAGAATGTGCTCAGGGTCAAAGTTGATTAAGCCACGAAGTTTGGCATACTCACAAAGGAAATACAGTGATACTCAGGGCCTATGTGGATGGCATCTCCTAACATAACAATTAATTTCTCATTAGGAATATCCAAGAAACAAGATCAGAGTATTATGATTAAGTATCTTGGAAATCAAAAATATAACAAAAATGAACATAGCTATAGAGTGAATTACCAAGCTCAATGATAGAATCAGGGAATTCTTACTGAGTACAGCATGAATGGACAGGAGATAATAGACAGCATGGAGAAAAAAGAGAAGCGTTTATGTCAACATTAGTGTAAGAGGAGTTTCAAGAAGAGAGAGAAATGGAAGAGAGGAGATACTCAGAAAGTTTATAGAAAAAGCCTTTAAATTTTTAAGATTTTAAACTAGAACATATAAACATATAAGCAAGAGATGTTCAGCTTTAGAATATGTGAAATAAAAGCATTTGAATACCTAAAGAATCAAAGAGTTTATCATTCACAGTCCCTGTCTAAGAAAGATACTGAAGAATATAATTAGTAAAATGAAAAATGAATCTAAGAAGGAAAATGTGGAATTTAAGAAAGTGCAATTTGCAAAGAAACTAGCAAAATTAGAGTTAATTCTAAATGATTGAGTCATTAGCAACTTAAATGTGAAAATGGTCTAATAACCATTAGTGATTATTTAATAATAGTTACAGTTTCCTATGCTTTCTCCTTAGGAAGTGGCATGGGGAAGAAGAGGATAGTAAAAACATATTAGGGCTTTCTCATTAGACAATGACATAAAGATACATATAAAATATCTTTCAAAAAATTAAAATCACAGCTCAAGAATAAGATGTATGACTTTGAAAACAGAGGAAATAAAAGAATTAATTGGTAGTGTAAAACATCTTGTGAATGCTATTGAATAAGAAAATGTAGCAATATTAAGTAAAAAAGAATTCAAGTTGCAAAATAATTAAGTAGATGAATGTCATTAATATCCTTATTGACATAGAGTACAATATACCAAGATGACACATTTGTGAACCTGTTTTTGCAGCTAACAGTATAGTTTTGAAATAGATACGGCAAAAGCCAGTCAAAATAAAGAAGAACATTAGACAAACTCAAAACCACATGAACTCACATTACATGTCTCTATCAGAAATCAACAGATCAAGTAAATAAAACATAAGGGTACAGTATAGACATTTTAATTTTATTCATCTTTTGCTCTTAGCTGTCCTTGAAAAAAAATTCTCTTCCAGATAACGTCATTTGTCTACACGATTAACTTACTAATTTCAATGCCCAAAAGGAAGTTTTGATTTGGTATAAAGCATAATGTTTTGATGCCAGGCATCCTAGGTATTTGAAATTGTGATCCTTCATGGCAGAAGAGGAGGACATAAGTGGACCTTTTAACAACATTCTGCATATCGGAAGTAGTAGTAGAACCAGAGAAACTCACAATGGCTGAAGATGTTCCAAGAGAACCAGCAGAGAATGATGTTGCAGAAATTATGAAAACTATAATCAAGAGGAAGGGAGTAACCAGATGGAAATTAAATATACAAACATCAAGTACTAGAGTGAAGTATTTGGTACCTGATAATGCTATAGAAATAGCTAGTACCTCCTTCTTCAGGAGTCAAACGAAAGAAAGAATCTACAGATTCATATACCACATAAATGACTGTCCCTTCATTAATTTTCCAAAGAGGGAAAGAATGACTGCTAAAGAGTTTGCTGAGCCAGATGCCGATGGTTCATGCTTATAATCCTAGGTACTTGGGAGGCTGAGATCTGTAGGATCACAGTTCCAGATCAGCCCAGGTCAAAAAGGAAAAGAGTTTGTGAGACTCCAGTTTACTGGAAAAAAGTTGGTTGTGGTGGTGTGCACCTGTCATCCCAGCAACAATGGGAACCACAAAATAAGAGGATCATGGTTCAGCCAAGCCTTGGTAAAGAGCAAGACCCTGTCTCCAAAATAACCAGAGCAAAAAGGTCTGGAGGCACCTGCCTAGCAAGAGCAAAGCCCTGAGTTCAAATGCAAGTACCAAAAAAAGAGAAAAAGAAATTGATTCCTGGTTAGTTACAAAAAACTCTGAACCTCTGGTATAGAACCAGTTCACGCCATGTGACACAATGTATTGAGGAGAGTGATTCACTTTGCCAGTGTTCTTTGTCAAAAATCATATCCCAGTCTAACCAGGTGAAAAGCATCAGATGAATACAAATTGAGAGATGTCTTCTTACAAGACATATGACTAGCCAAAACTGTAGGGGTCATGAGCAAAATGAAAGACTGAGAAACCGTCACAGACCAGAGAAGACATGACGACTACATGCAATGTGGAATCCCAGATGGGATCCTGGAACAGAAAAGGGACATTAGCACAAACACTAATGAAATCCTAGTAAAATCTGGAGTTTAGTTAAAAGCAATGCATTAACGTATGGTTCTTTATTTTGATAAAATGTTCCACAGCAGTGTAGGATGTTAACAATAAGGAAACGGAATGAAGGGTATATAAGAGCTCCTTATACAATATTTACATTTCAGTAAGTCTGAAATTATTCCACAACAAAAATATAATTAACAACAACAAAAAAGCTGTGAAAGCTGAGTTTGGACAATGATGGACAAGTTGTGTACCACATGTTTCCATGCTCTAGCCTACAAAACTAAGCCTGAGGCCAGCTGTCTGGACATAGTTGAAGCAGGAGAATCTTTCCCATTTACCTTGCCTTTTCTTCTACTCATCTTTCCCATGGGAACTTTAAGGATTCTGTTGGGAAGGAGGAAGTAAGATTCAAAAGACTTAGTATGAAATCTGAATTGTTAGTCTTTCCCTAGCCAGGTCAGATCTGCATCTAATCAAACAATTTGACACTAAATAGACCTTTTCCACAGAGTCTGTGGAAATTCTGTCCCCCAAAATAATATGTGGAGTGAATTTATTGCTACTGTGTCACAAAACAACTAGCGCATTAATTCCATACCTTTCCTTTCAGAAGACATTGGAGTAATGAACCATCAAAATGGTTTTTTGCTGAACTAAAAATTCTAGATCTAAAAATACAAGTTGTAGTATTTATTTTTTCCCCAAACTTCATTTGGGGGATGTTTTTAAAACTTTGTGACAAAGAGAGAATGGAGAGTTACTTTTCTTTTAATAAAGGACTAATTAATTAATTAATCAGGAATATTTTGCAAAACCATGCTAAACAACCAATGAGTTATTAAAAGAGGTTTTTAAAGGTATAATGTTTTAAATATACAGTAGTATTGTCAATTCATTTTTAGCTATTTTTTTAGAATCTGTTTTTAGAACTTGGCTAATCTACATTCAGTGATGCCATTTCATGGTTTTCCATAAAACGAGGAAATGGTGGGAAAGTATCTAGATATGTTAAAATAATAAAATAAAATGCTTGACTTTGAATGAATATGGCTTGAAACAGGATTGACTAAATGAAATATACTTTTTTAATAAAATGGCATGATAAAAAGTCTTCAGATTTACATTTTTGAACATCATTTTTTTCTTATAGTATGTGCCCAAAAGAAAAATTGTCAAGTATGCACAGAAGACAAGAAAGTAAGTTAACTTTTTTTGTGTTTTGTTTTGGTTTTTTTTTGGTGGTGGTGCTGGTGTTTGAACTCAATGCCTTGCTCTTACTAGGCAGGCACATCACCATTTGAGCTCCACCCCCAACCCTGTAAGTTAACTTTCTTCTGAGGAAATTTTCTTGGGAATGATGTAAACTCAACATTTATAGTTGTCATCTAAAAAATATGCTGACCTTTGTTTTACACAATTTTTTATAACAGGAATGGCTAATAACTGCTAAGATTTATTTCTCCATTTCAAATAATTTCTGAGGGCCTACAAGTAAACAACGGAAATAATTTAATATAAGTATGTACTTCTTGATAGAAACTTATACTTCAAAAAGAAAACAATTCTTTGAAAGACTTATGGTGAAATTTCAGAAATTTTTGTAAGGCAAAGGGAAAGAAATGCCTTTTGAGATGTGGTGAAAATTTCCTTCTTTCTTCTTATTCTTAAAGACTAGAAAGTGGCACACCATTCCTTAACCACAATGTGGGTAAGATCCCTTCTTCGATGGTTAAATATCTGACACCATTATTCTTCACTTTGGATTTGAAAGAAAGCAGGAAAGTCAGACATCCCAAGGGAAATGGCATTACTTAGCTTTGTAGCAACACTTTACAAACCATTTTAGTATAATTTGTATTGGAGAACTGACACCAAAGACACAGATGCAGAATCACTAACTAGAAAAAGACCCATAATGGTAGTTGGTATCTGTCATAGTGACCTGGACATACCACCCTCTGCCTTTTATCTTCTTCCAGCTCAGTTGTCTGTCTTAATGAGGACCTGGGATTCTGGCTTAAGGAATTTTCCCCCCAATCCCTACCATGACTTCCATACTCTGTACAGCCAGGGACAGCCCTGACACACAGTGTTCTGACTTCCTGAACCCTGTACATTAGGATATCACTTTCATGATACAACCTGAGCCCTACACAATCTACACTAGCTACTACTTTCTTATTTCCTCACACTGTACCTACTCTTGGGCCTCACTGAGGTAAACCTATTCCCCAATCCTTTATTTTTCCTCCCTTCATTTTTTCCTTCAGGTTACAAACCCTTAGCTTGAATTCTCATGGTTGTTCACCTGAATATTCTCCTACTTTTTGTTATAAATTTTAAACACATAAAAATAGAGACAACAGAGCCTGGTACTATGGCATATGCCTGTTGTGCCAGTAACCTGGGAAGATGAGGCAAGAGGATTGTCTGAGTCCAGGAGTTCAAGGCCAAGAAGAGAAAGGAAGGAAGAGGATTCCATTTAATTTTTTGCCAGGAATATTTCATGCTAAAGACTTTCATTAGGACATAAATAAGGATCATTGCCTAGTATTTGGTTATGTTAGCAGGTTATAATATTCATTGCCTGGATCCATTATATTCTTAGAGGTTACAAAAACCATGACTACTTTACTAGCCTTCCCTTCTTTTTGTGTGTGTACGGGCAGTAGGGGCAGGGGTTAGTTGCAATTTGAACTCAGGGCTTCGCACTTGCAAAGCGGGCACTCTACCACTTGAGCCATACCTTCAACCTGTGCCCTCTTATTTTAACTGTGCCTATTTTACATTCCTCAGCCTCTGACTGGTTCTTCAGTTTATCCATTTGCCATGCATTATTAGCTGATTACTGCTCAAGCATATTACATTAAAGTCTGCATTGGTAGAACTACAAATTTACAATTTCTGGATTACCTGAGCTCTGGTACTAACCCTTACTTGCCTTTGGTTAGCAGTATTTCCTAAAATGTACCTTAACAGCAATTCCAAAACTTTGTAAACATCCTTAAAATGCCACTATTATCCCTCATCTCATCAATCTGATTTTATAGATAAAAATAGAGGTTCTAGGTGTTGACTTCACTCCCCAAATTGATAAAATTTCTGCCATTTTTTATCCAATCTTACTCATCCTTATCCTTCTTGTTAGAGGAAGAAGAATACCTCCTCTAGTTCCCTTATTCCTTTTGGGCTTGAGCATATATACTTTTAAAACGGTAACTCATGTCATATAAGTTGTTTTTATTTTCTTCTTCCCTTGTTCTCAGTTCTCCAAGGACATAGTCTATGTTTTATTCGTCATTGTACCTCTAACACCTCATACATTTTCCAGCCCGTGGCAAGTGTTCAATAACTATTGAATTAGCTCTTGGCCATTAGAAGATGGTTAAATTATAGTTAATACACTCTGTAATGTAACATGGTAAGGAATTTTATCTTAAAATATTTTCAAGCACAAGCCATTATGGAAATTACCACATTATGGGATATATGTATTTTAGTGTAATTTTTACAATAGTCCTAGTACCTCACAGAAAAAGACTAAAGGATAGCATAGAATTAGGGTGTTATCTTTTGGAAAAGGATTCTCTGTCCTCCCAGAAATTCCAAGGACTCTGGCTTTTACTGACAGTTTCTGCCAACCTCCTGTACTCCAAGAGAGAGTGTCATGTTTATAGATGGCAATTCATGAAGCAACCAAGAACATTTATGTTCTTCTTGACTAAAAGTAGTGTTATGTCCAGGACTGTCCTAGTTGATGTGCATTGACCAAGAGAAATTCTTCAAATCTGCTCCTAATTTCCCGTAACATTCTAGTTTGGATGATAAATTATATGCTTATCCTTAGCTATAAGGGAATCTTCTTTAGATTCTATCTGAAATTTTTCCTTGTAACTTACTAGTACAGACAAGCCTTCTTACATACTGAAAATTTCTTACCAGAAACAAATCCGTAAGAAACAACTTGTTTTCAACCCTACCCCAGAACACTACTCATAAACACAGTTTATGAAAAATATGTTTTTGCTGATATATTCTTTTCCATCAGAAATAAAACTTCAAAAACCATGCCAACTAAAACAAGGTAAGCACCCTTTCACCTGGGCTTTCATTGCCATTTAGAGTTGTTATGCATCACTGTTGAATAGTTGATAGTTCCCAGTCATGGTGTCATAATGGTGAGATCATAATTAACTTTAATTTAGTTAAATAAGAGTTATAAGACTAAGTTTTGAAATTGACTCAAAAAATAAAGCAGAATACACTCTAGTTTTTTCTCCATAATCAATTCTTTCTCATTCATTGCATCCTCTTATAGATGACTGGTCAGGACAGAAAGGAGTGAAATTGCAACAAACTTAATGGAACTTGTAAATCTCCCACAGCTTAATTTATCTGTTAAATAGTTTATGAGATGTGACCATTATGCACACACTTGTAATATCCATTTATAAGTGTCATACTTCACATGCTACAAAGATACCCATTTTGATATTTATTTTTCTGAAAAAAGTGTGTGTGGAGGAGCGGAAAGTGGGCAGGGTTACGAGTCCAAGTCTGGATGTGCCAGTGAGCATGTGGATATCACTCAGCTAAAAATGAAGAAGAGAGACATGTATATTTTCCATGGCAGCTATTCCCAACACCTTATGTGCTCTTGGCATGACCTTCCTTTTGAGATCTGACTGGCCCTCCTTCTGGAGTTCTTGAGAAATATAAGGCCATCTGTTAGACTCAATTTCCCTCATTTTTCTTCTGAACCAACTCTGTCTTCTCTTTTATAGTCTCTTTCCTCTTAAGAAACCTATTAAATCTATTTTCATTCCCAAGGCTAATCTCCTTAGTCTTTGCTTCTATGCATGCATCATTCTCAAATACATGCACATTTACAAACTCAGAGCCTTTCTCATTTCCTCATTCTGTCTGTGACAAATCCAGTATATTTCTCTGCTTTACTTTCTTCGTTTCTGAGTTCAGACAAAGTGGGAAAAAAAACCCAAATCTTTTTGTTTCTTCTTAGTTGCTAAATATTTATTCTACTACCTCTTGTCACACAGTGTGATTTAATCTTTAGCAAATGAATTCAAAGGTTACAAAAGGCTCCCCACAATCAAATGCAATGACCTGTCGGATTAGTCACTCATTCTTCTGGAAACTTGTTCCTTCCTTGGTGGTCTTGACTTCATACACTGCCTATTTTTTCTCTCACCACTGTTTCACTTACCAACTCTCCTCTTTGTATTCCTAAATGAGAGCATTTCTTAATACTGTGGCTCATCTTCCTACTATCTCACCTACAGTCAATGGCTTCTACCACTAGCTGCATATAAGGAAATCTCAAATGTGCATCTGTTTACTAATGGTCCTCCAGTAGACATGCTCACAGTTGCTTGACTGACATTTCCTCCAGAATAGTTTTTTTAAAAAAGCATCTCAAGCTCAAAATATTTATAAATAAATTTAGCATTTTTTCTTCCCCAAAGAAATTTTAGCTCCTTTAAAACATCTGTTATCCATTATTTTTTCTTTCAACTGAAGCAATTCTAGACTTCCCTACACTGCTGTCCACACTTTCATCCCTCTAGTCTCTCCTGTGCTGTATTCATCTTCTTTAATTATTACTTCTATTATATCTTCTTTTAGCTCTGTTCAGTTGAATCCAAATAAAACACAAAACTGTCCTTAGTCTTTCAGAACCATCACAACTAAAAAGGAGTTTATCTTTTCAAATTATCTACAAAACTCACCCGATAGATTTTTACTCTTGCCACATGGTACATGCCTTTCTTTAAGTGCTTCCCCTTTGTGCAGAAATTTTACCTATTCCTAAAGACTATACCAAATTCTTCTTCTTTGAAAGAAATCTTATCTAGTCATTCCCACTAGAAATTAGTACTTTCTTTTCTAACTATCACATTTTAAATATTCATATTCAATCATTTGAAATTATAATATTCTTACATTTAGAGATGTATATTGTTTTGCTGTAAATGTGTAATAAATACTGCCAATTAAATTGACTCTAGAAAGCAAACACAGTGTTTTGTGTGGCCATCTGTGTGACCTCTGCTGCATCTAGCATGTGCTTGACTTATAATTCCTCTTTGACAGTAACATCATTTTACAATATTAGCCATTTGTTCTACAATGTTAGCAAACCACTAAACATTATTATGTACTTTCTCTATATTTTCATTTTAATGGTATCTTCTTATGAAAATTGCAATTTTGTTGTCCATATAAGCTCATGAAAACAAGCTTCTTCCCAAAAATGATACTGAAATTTTCTTATGGAACAATAACTATCATAAGCCTGGTTCTCAGTAGTTACACACCTAAGAAGCTAAGATTGGTAAGACCTGAGATTATAGAGATATTCCTTAGCTATAAGAAAATCAGTTAATTTGTCCTAAATTGTAGGCATGTTAAATATATTACTGCTCCTCTGGGACATGAATGTGAAGTTCTGCTCTTTGAAGATTTTTTTGAGTAGTAAAAGTAGTTAAGTATCACATCTTCTTGTAAATGGCAGAAACTCACCTCAAGCTAACTTAAATAAAGTGGAATTCATTGCTCATAAAATTTGGTGCCTTGACTTCAAGCTCAACTGACTTTCAAAGGATCTCATGCCCATTCCTTTCTTTCCTTTCATCTTCTAGCTCTGTCCCCAATTCATTGACCTAATTTTTCCTCCTAGTAAAATGGACATTCTGCATACTGCTGAGGAAGAGGCTGGCTGCCATGTCTTCTCAATGTCTGTATATAAATCCAAAGAAGATTTAATTGGTTTTGAGTCTTACATCCAGACCAGCAAAGTTACTGACTAGAGATATGAAACTACCCTGAGTTCACTACTTGGGTCAAATGACTATCTAGTAGTAGAAAAGAGTCAAGACAAAGCTAATTGACAGCTGCACGACCAACCAGATTGGGGAAGAAGTCTGCAAAGGGTAGAGGATATGACCACCATAAGAAGAATGAACAGAGATGGGCAGACAAGCATTTAAGAAAATAAGTGAGAGGTGCTGGTGCACATGCTTATCATCCCAAGCTACAGCCTGAGATTGGGAGGACTGAGGTTCAGGCCAGATTGGGAGGACTGAGGTCAGGCCAGCCTGGGCAAAAAAGTTTGTGAGACTCATCTCAATGGATAAAGCTGGGCATGGTGGTGTGCCTGTCATCCCAGTGAGAACGAGAAGCATAAAATAGGAAGATCATGGTTAGGCCAATTTGGACAAAGAATGAGACCTTTCTCCAAAAAATAACCCTAACAAAAGGACTGGAGCCATGGCTCAAGTGGTAAGCCACCAAAGTGTAAGGTCTGAATTCAAACCCCATTACCAAAAATTTTTTTTTAATTACTAAGAAAACAACTTCAGTCTACTTTGCCCTTCAGGACACACATATTCTATGTCCTGCCTATATTTTTAAAAACATGCATGCTGTTTCTTCATATTTTTTAAAATGTTCCTCACAAAATAATGCAACTAACCAACTAAAATTGTGTAAGTCAACTGTCAGCTTCTGCTCCCAGCAGTAAGTCTGAGTCTCAGAGAGATGTTCTTTATTCTTGATCATGTTTGAACAAGCTTCTCATGCTGCATACTCCAACTCAGCCATACAATCAATTAAAACTCAATCTCCAAACGAGCTTTAGTAGAAAAGGAAAACCAGTAGCAACAGTAAAAACTCCCAGTCAGAAATGAGGGTTGTGGTCAGTGGTTCTATGATGTACTGAGTCTATTAAATACTCTGTTGAGTTCCCTAGTTGAACAGTGAGTTGGTTGGTCACTAGTTTGGTGGTGCCAGGCTGGTCTTATGAAGGAGTTCCTTTTCCAGTGTTTTCTGAGCCCCCATCAGAGAGAGGAATAGGAGAGAATTCCTGAAGACTGAGCTGCTTTAGGAGTCAATGCTATGGACTTGGTTATTGGGGCCAGTGAATCAGTTAGCACTAGAGTAACCATGAGCTCTCTCTTCTGGTTCACATTCATTTTGGCAATTTATCTCCCTTAAAACTGTTAGATATTATGGGCTTGATTTCTAGAAACTCTGAGAATAATATCCAAAGTCAGAATGTCTGCAGGCTATAGTCCTTGAATCAAAGCCTTATCTTTTTATTTGTAGTCTTAAAACACAATCTTAAGAGGATGGCGCCCATTCTGCCTAAGTGGCTTCAATCTTAGATTGCTTAAATGGCTTGACTTGACCTTTGATCTTGGTCAACATGAACAAAAGCTGACCTGTGATATACTGCTTCTCTCAGGTACTATCTAAGGGTGGTTCTTTCATTGAGTGAATCATTCCTCTGCTGGTCTCAGAATATACAGTAAGAAGTGATGGAGGGTCTGGGTCAGTCTTATGGACTGATTACTAGCACAGAAACAGGCTGCTTAGGTCATAAGCCCAGGCTTCCTATTTACTAGGTATATGACAGTTTATGTAGTCACTTAACTTGCCGTGTACCTTAATGTCCTCATTTAAAAGTGTAAGAATAAAATCTAACTCACAGAGTTGTCATGGTGATAAATGAGTTAGTATATATGAAAGACTAAGAACAGTACCTGTCACATGGTAGCCCCTATGTGACAGCCATTTTTATCCACTCTGTTCTCATTTCTTTTGACTCTTACAGGTTCCTGTATTATCTCCCACAATAGTTTTCACCATTGTGCCTTTTTTGTTTACTTTAACAAGGGACTTAGATCAGTTTTCCTGAATTCTGATCATCAGGAAGGAAAAGGTATAGGGAAGTGAGCAAAGGCTGGTTGACAGCACCATCAGGGCCGCATGAAACAGATTCCTCAGAGGAAAAGCAGATACTGCAGAACGGGGGAATGGGAAGAATGCTGAGATGTTTTCTAAAAAACATCTAATGCGTCCTTATTACTACTTTGTGAAACAATGTCTTGGGCTTAGTTCTCTAAATGCAGAGGCATAAAAAGAGATTCAGATGCGTGTGATTTTTTAAGTGACTGCTCTTTAGCAAATCCCATGAAGGAATAAGGGATCCCAGGAAACAAGGGTAGAGCCAAGAAAAGATGGGGTCCCAGCTAAAGCCCACATTTTGGCTGAATCATTGACAGTCCTTGGGCAAAAAAATCACATAGCAGAGTTGTGCTGACTTGAGGCAAGGATGTCCCTTTTTTTGGAATCCTGTATTAATCACTTACCCTATGAGAATATAACCTCAAGGGCAAGATGGTCCTCTTCCACAAAGGGCAAGTATTCAAAGGATTTGTAGCCACTGGCAGCAAACTCATGCACCTGAGGTTTGTGAGCCTGGTAAAGATCTAAGACGACCAATGGTATCTACTACAATAGTAGTAGAATAATGATGATGATCATGATGATGACTGTTATTTATTGAATAATTATTGAACTAGTCTAAAAACTTACTGTGATCATGGTTATGTTACTTGGACACGTTTTATTTGTTTCTTTCCAATACAGTGTATTTGGTGCAAAGAAGAAATGGCTTGCAAAAAATCTGTTTTCCATATTCCGGATGTCAATTCAGTTCTATATTTTTGGGCAAACTGTAAAAAGTGAGTTCTCTTTATTTAAATTTTTATGTACTTTATTTCAGTTGGCTTTGCAAATAGTAATAATTTGTTCCATTTGAAGGACATTAAGTTTTTATATATTTTTAGTAACATGCAGCAGTCCAGAGTGTTTTATCAGTGCTTCCTGATACATACTCCTGATTGTTCCAGCCAGTGTTGATTCGTGTTAAGTTCTCTTTATTTAAAATTTTTATGTACTTTATTTCAGTTGCTTGCAAATAGTAATAATTTGTTCCATTTGAAGGACATTAAGTTTTTATATATTTAGTAAACATGCAGCAGTCCAGAGCTTGTTTATCAGTGCTTCCCTGATACATACTCATTGATTGTTCCAGCCAGTGTTGATTCGTGTTAAGTCAGCCCTTTCCTTACTGGTAGAAGACTCAACATGGCACTTGTTAAATAGCTTAAATTTCATTTCTAAAAAAACTGATGTATGGTATTGTTATGCTGGAGTGAACTGTTGTGGGCTGGTGTTGAGGGTTCTTGCCTTCACAGGCCAAAGAACTGGCTCATGAGGCAGCTGATGACTTGTGAGACAAGGTTGGTACACAAAGTAGGATTTATTAGTGAGAAAGGAAAAGGCTAGATCAGTGTAGCAGAGCCCGGAAACCGTTGGCTCCCTGCTCAGGTGAAGGCTGGGTGATTTTTTATGGATGCTTTAATTCTGGGTCTTAGGGTAAGGGTTAGGGGGTTCTTATCATTGGCCTTGGATTCGCACATGGGGGCTCTCTTTGACATATGGTGTGTTTGTCCCTTATGGGGGAAACAACCTTGAGAGCATTCTGTTTATCAGCCCCGTGGCAGATTTATGAGACCTGTATCTCCTCCTCAGGGTGCAGGAATGCAGATTTATGAGACCATGTAACTCCTTCTCAAGGTGCAGGGCTCACAGTGCTCTCCATGGGGGATGGGATACTCACTCACTCATCTGTCCCTTAGGCTCCCAGACCCAACAGTATCCATATTCTAGTTAAGGGATGTTTGTGCTTTTATGTTATTTTAGGAACTCTAAGAGTTCTTTTTTTTATATTCATTTATTCATATGTGCATACATTGTTTGGACCATTTCTGCCCCCTGCCTCTGCCCCCTCCCTCTCCCCCTACAATCCCTAGCTTCCAGGCAGAACCTGTTCTGCCCTTTTCTCCAAATTTGTTTAAGAGTAGACATAAGCAATAATAAGAAAGACATAGTGTTTTTGCAAGTTGAGATAAGGACAGCTATACAGAGAGATTCCTAGCTGGAAAGAGTGCATACTTAACATAGAATGTATTTCCTCAGTTAATATATTCTATTTTTAAATTTGCTATTCAGAATGATTAATCCTTAAAGAGTGAGAAAATATCAATCATTGAAGAATCTTTAAATTATATCCATAATGCCATACTTTTGGTATGTTATATGATGTTTACCAAGACAGGAAGATGTACCCGTATCTTTTAAGGAGTGTTCTAGAAAATTTGAAACAGACTTTCCATTCCAGGCGAACCCTAACCATATGAGAAAACTCAATCTAGAACAATTAGTTTGACTGTTTTTTTTCCTTAAGTGAAAAGATACAAATTTTCCCTCCAATCTCTGTTTGCTTCAGGCACTATTAGGTATATTTAAATTATGTCTTTGTAGTTTATAAAGAAGTAATAATGTAATTAATATGAACAGAAACTTTAGTCCCCTTTTCATTTTTTCCCTTCAAATTGCATTTTATAGTACACCAAGCTAGTAAGCTGCACAGGACTGAAGGAGGGAAAATATTTACTGGAGTTAGAAATCTGCTTGCCAACACACATGGGTTGTCTGTTTGATCGTGAATTGCTGAAACTCAAACATCATGCCCATCTCTTTATTGAACAGCAACATGAGGGATCTGCTATTTATCTGTTGAGAAAATACCAAAAATGAAATTAGAGGTAAAACAAAGGAAGAATAAATCAGTGGTCTAATGATTTACCAATCTGAAAAGAAAGGATTCAAAGTTTCCTCCTTTTTAGCAACCCAAGATTTATTTTCAAAATGCTACTGATTGTTGTGCTAAAGGCAGTTTTACGATCCATATTATTGTGTCATTATTTTCAATGACGTATGAATGTGTATTTAAGACTATATCATGATACTAGAAAGATACAAATGTAAGAAAGTTTTTGATTTCTGTCATTAACATACATTTCTTTTCATACATTTCAGTTGACCTGTTTGGAATCCTGACGCTGATACTCACTGGAATATTAATCATGGCATTCTTGTGGTGTTGCTGTTCCTATTACTTTTACCTCAATGAGTATGTTCATTTCTATCCTGCGTAAGAATGCACTTTGGAATAGTATCATTGAAGAAAATGCTAAACTAGTTATTGGGAAATGTTTATGGATTTTTTTTATTGGTGGGACTGGGTTTAGACTCAGAACTTCACACTTGCAAAACAGGCACTCTACCACTTAAGCCACACCTCCAGTCCATTTTGAGCTGGAATTTTGAAGATGGAGCCTTGTGAACTATTTGCCCTGGCTGGCCTTGTACCACAATCCTCCCAATCTCAGCATCCTAAGTAGCTAGGATTATGGGTGAGCCAACATCTCCCAGCTACTTTATGTTTTTTATGTAATCAAAATAATATATCCACATGGTAAGGAAAAATCAAAAAGTACAGAAAATTGTAAGATGAAAGGAAAATATAAATAAATTTCCTATCCCCATCTCCACCCTTTAACACCTCCTTCTTAGAAGTAATCCTTTTAGTATGGTTCAATTTGTAGGGCTTCTGTTGATTATATGCTTAAACCAGATTGTTACCTCTTCTTTCCATATTAATGTTATGTGTTAATCCAATTCCCCATCATGAAAGTTGAAATTTTTATTTTGCACTATTCAGGTATTTTTGTAATTTTTCTGTTAGTGGATAGTATCATTTTATGATTTTTGGATTTTTAACTTTTGCTTTTCATTGTTTTTAGTTATGGATCTTAAGATTACTAAGATTTCTTTCTGGTCATCTTTTTTATTTTGAGTAGTTCCTTTAATTCCCTGTTTGTATATCTCAGTCCTTCCCCCATTATTTAAGATAAGAAAATTTGATTCTCTATGCTTTCTTCCATTTATTCTCCTTTCTTTCAATCTCCTAAAATCTGTACATTTCTCATTAATGTGATCTTAGCAAAAGTGTACCATTTATAGCATAATTATGTTCTCAAAATGGATTCTCTTTCCTTATGCTCCTTTTCTCAAATCATGTTACATTTCAGCTTGTTCAAGTTGTCCATTGTGACTTTCTTATCCAGTTTTTGCATTTTCTGGTTTCTTGTTAAAAATACATGTATCTCTTAGTTACATCACTTTGGTTATTTATCTTTGCATTTGATAAAATATTGTCACCTTTACAGCATTCTTCTGAAAGTCTTTCTGATATCATATTCTAATTTATAAAAATTAGCTTCTCTTCCTTGCTCCATATACATTGGGAGAATTTTTTGGATTTCCTTTCTTTCTCTTTTTGGGACTCTTCCCCACCTCCCTTTTCCTGGAGTACATTTTAAAGTAACTTTTTTCCAAAGGGAGTTTGCAGAAAGTTTAGCAAGTATTTCTATAGTTCACAACGCCTACCTACAAATTTGTTTTTCTCTATTTCTCCTATATCCCAGCATGATACGATTTTCCTTTTTTTTTTAATTATGTACCTTTTGTAAAGAAGGACCATAGACAAAGTAGATAGAGCCAAAGATAAAATCAATGCATACTAACAGGCCTGTCCATAAGTCACAGACTAATTAAAAGACACAAGATGGCCAAATGTTTGTTTGTTGGTTGAGACTTCCACTGTGTCTAGAAATTTGTATTTTCTGGTTTCAAGATTTTATGTCCTTTCTTATTAATACATAAGCACAAGGCAGTAAGACAGAAAATATTCCTTATTCTTACCCTCAAACAACAACAAAAAATTAAGAGAGAAAAATAATAAGACACATCAAATATATGGCAAAATGGTGTGGCTTATTTACTTTTTACATCTTGTTTCCAAAATATTAATTTATTGTGTCATCAGTTTCTCTGTATGGTGCTCATGAGTAAGTGACTAATTCCCCTTAAGAGCAGGGGCCTGAGAAAATACCCATTCTAACACTAGTTTTATCTACAATTCAAAAGAAGAAGCTGGATCTTCTCTGCAAATATGATCCAACAATTGTACTTGGTTCCAGTTTAATTTAGCTATTCACCCATCACCTCTTCTTTTTGAATGTCTTATAGAGATATCTAGAGTTTGTTAGTTAAATGGATGCTGTGCTCTGTGAGAGAAACTTATCCTATTAAGGATTTATTATACTTCAAAATCCAACAATCATGCTTGGTTCTAGACACATCAGTCTCCTGGGAATGTGGTTCAATGTTGGGGCACTTGTCTAGCACACATGAGGTCCTGGGTTCAATACTCAGCACTTCCTCCAGCAAAAAAACAATTCCTTGTAGAACTGTCATTCTTTCTTTTAAGAATACCCTTGAATGACCAAGGAAGCATCAAAAATATCAATTGCTACATTTTGTATAATATTCTACTTATTCAGCGATATGATTATAAAAATTAAAGTACTTTAAATTTTTGAAAAACCATTCTAAATATTAAGAGAATATAAAATGCTTGACTTCCCATGTACTTCTTACCTCCTTGACTCTATCTATTCTTTCAGCAAATAATCACTAAATATTTATCATATATATGCAATATCTCTGTCACTTGGGATATGATGGATAAAAAAGAAAGATTAAATCATTGCTTTCATGGAGCTTACATGCCACTAAGGGGACACAGATAAGTAGAACAATTTTAACTCTATTGCTAATTTGTTCATTTTAATTTCTATTCCATTTATTTTTAATTAATATTTTTCTCTACAACTTTAATTATCCTGGTAGATAGATAAAAGGAGAATTCAACTTATAAAGCAAGGATAATAATAAAATACTACATAAATGTAGTCTATCTAATGAAATAAAGTAATTCAATATAACTAACTATGAAAATAAACCTAATCCTAAATTCACCATCATTTTGAACAGACGTCAAGCCTTTGTTTATGGAAGACAAGAAACAGTTCCTGTTTACGACTTGTAAGCCCCTGGCAAGTGCTTTATTTATTGATAGAATATTCCAGGATTTTTCAGTAATGACAGCTGGAAATCATTACTTGTTCCAGACATCAAAATTAAAGTATGAGTAGAAACATTGACAACAGCTTTCACTGCTCTCACTTCTAATATATACCTCAATGGCTACACTAGGATTGATAAAATCACAATATTGATAGCGAAGGATTAAAGTTTTTCAACCTATTTGGGATTTGGCTTCCCCAGTTTGTAGAGTTGCCTAGTATCTCCTCTTCTCAATTTCTTTTTTGGTGCTACTTGGGTTTGAACTCAAGCCTTCAGGCTTGTGATGCAGGCACTCAACTGCATGAGCCATGCCTCCAACCCTTTTTACTCTAGTCATTTTTGGACACAGAGTCTTGCTTTTTTGGCCCAGGCCTGGACCATGATCTGCGATTTTAAGCTTCCAGCTTAACAAAGATGACAGCACACGCCACCAAGCCCAGGTTTTACCATAATCAGCTTTTCTTTTTTTTTTTTTTTTTCTGTTGTGAAATGAAAAATGGTTTTGCCCAGGTTGACCTGGAAACATGATCCTCCAATCTCAGGTCCCAACTAGTTAGGATTACAAGCATAAGCACTTATACCTGGCTTCAACTTAATTCTTTAAACTTTCCATTAGTTAAAGGCTGTCTCTTACTCGATGTCCTTTGGCTTATCCCCCACAGCTCCTTAGCAGGCCCTTTTGCCCCTCCTTTGCTCAGGTTTGGATTCTAGAACCCACTGGAGTCAGAGCTGTGGGACCTTGCTCACTGGAGTAATATGACCACAAAAACTTTGAGTCTGCACTACTATGACTAACAAAGGGCACTACATGGCCCTGTCTAATTACCATTAAAGATAACTTTTTAAAAACTATTGTGTTGCTCAGGGATGTAAAGACACAGTGCTACAGAATGCAGAAAAGCCTGGGAACCATGTTTTAGGTTACAAAATTTGAGTGAAAAGTAGGGTGAACCTTAAAAGCCAGGATGAAAGGTTAAGCTCATACACATACATTGCCAACTTCTAGGTTTTTATATAGAAATTGTTTGGAGGGGAATGGAATCATTATGTTTCAGAAAGCTATTTCTGGAAGGAATTAAGGTGCAGCGGCACTTGCTACTTCTCCTTGGGTTGAAATCAAACCAGAAACCTGAGAGAATTGATATCACATTTCAATTTTTCTCCCTCCATTTAAAATTGCACATGAATTTCTAGGAGAAATGGCTTGGAAAAAGAACTAAGACTGGGTATTTCTTAGGTAGAAACAGTCACAAAAATAAGGGTCATTTGCTACATCAGATTTTTATAGGGATAAAACCCAGACAGATATGCCAAGCAGGGTTTTTTCCTTTCCATCCAGGAGAGAGCTCAAGAGGAATCCCATGTAAAGGGTATCTTAAGGGAAAGAGAATCTTGCATCCACAGGTTTTCTGAAGCTGGAGACAACTAGTCTTTGACTTCCTCAAATAGTAGCCTTTTCATCTCTGACAATTTCACACCCAGATGGTACTATTCTAATAATAAAATAGCTAGTAACATTAAAATCTCAGATAGAAATTGTTTTATTATTCAGAATATATGTTTTTTTTTAATTTAGTAAGTTTTTGTTGCATTTTTAGAAAATTGGAATCATTTTCTCTTTTTATTTTTTTTTTTTCATTTTTCTTTTATTATTCATATGTGCATACAAGGCTTGGTTCATTTCTCCCCCTGCCCCCCCCCTCCCTTACCACCCACTCCCCCCTCCCCTCCCCCCCTCAATACCCAGCAGAAACTATTTTGCCCTTATTCTAATTTTGTTGTAGAGAGAGTATAAGCAATAATAGGAAGGAACAAGGGTTTTTGCTGGTTGAGATAAGGATAGCTATACAGGGCATTGACTCACATTGATTTCCTGTGCGTGGGTGTTACCTTCTAGGTTAATTCTTTTTGATCTAACCTTTTCTCTAGTTCCTGGTCCCCTTTTCCTATTGGCCTCAGTTGCTTTAAGGTATCTGCTTTAGTTTCTCTGCATTAAGGGCAACAAATGCTAGCTAGTTTTTTAGGTGTCTTACCTATCCTCACCCCTCCCTTGTGTGCTCTCGCTTTTATCATGTGCTCATAGTCCAATCCCCTTGTTGTGTTTGCCCTTGATCTAATGTCCACATATGAGGGAGAACA